ATCAGACTGACTCACTAGGTAGTGACAAATCAGGAAAGTGCCACATAAACTATAAACCCTCTCTCCCACAGGCATACATTTACACACAGGGAGTGACACCTATTGTTTTTGCCTGCCCAGCAACCATTCCTTTTTATTCTGGAAACTGCATCTTATGGCTTTAACACCATCTCCAGGTCTAGGGAGGAATATGTGACTCAAGCGAGGCTGGCCAGAGTTAATCCTGATATTTTTGTTGAGAAAAAAGATCTCTTTCTAATGAGGTTGTTAAGCTCACAAAAGGTAAGACTAGAGCTACTGGGATGATTCCTTGTCATCTTATAGGCAGGCAGAGCTGCAAGATTTTAAAAAAACCAACAAATCTCTAACACTAGCATTTGGGCACCTGGAAACAGCTATGCCTGAAGCCATCTGCTGGATTTTTTTTCCCCCTGTAGCTAATTTGAATCCAATTTCTGTCTTGCAACTAAGAGTCCTCACTGACTCATTTGAGGCTTGTCTGATACTGAGGCTCATGTACCTTAAACCATCCCAGATTGACTCAACAGTATACAGCCTAAAGAGAAAAAAGGAAAAACAAATAAAGCAAATACTTTCTCTTTCTCACTTCCTTTCATCTTATGTAGATATGGTACCTCTGCTAACAACTGCTAGATGAGTGTAAACATGTCCAAGACAATCCCGTCACATTACTACTTATTAATGACCTCATTACCTGCATAAACATCATGATTCTTTGTGTCAATATCATAGTTGTCCACATCAAATCTGTGTCAATTCCACAAAAGTATGTCAAGCTCCATTTCTGGTGCCCCTTTGAGAAAATTAGAGTTGGTGAGACATAAGTAAGAATATATGTTTTTCTTTTTCTTTCCTTTTTTTTTTTTTTGTTTTTGAGGTGGAGTTTCGCTCTTATCACCCAGGCTGGAGTATAGTGGTGCAACCTTGGCTCACTGCAACCTCGGCTCACTGCAACCTCTGTCTCCTGGGTTCAAGCGATTCTCCTGCTTCACCCTCCTGAGTATCTGGGATTACAGGTGTGTGCCACCACGCCTGGCTAATTTTGTATTTTTAGTAGAGACAGGGTTTCACCACGTTGGCCAGGCTGGTCTCGAACTCTTGACCTCAAGTGATCCACCCGCCTTGGCCTCCCAAAGTGCTGGGATTACAGGTGCGAGCCACTGTGCCCGGTCGAGAATCTATGTTTTTCACTCATAGTTTGGGATTGTT